TTTTTTTAACACTTTCGTTTGTTCTAGGAGCAATTATATATTGTATGCAATCATATGTGCGGCTGCAGCGATCATCTTGATCGCGTTACTGTGTAATAAAACTTCATCAATTGTCATACTAAATGAATATAGACGTCGTCCGAGCGAAGAAAGAGAATCTTCTGCGTGACATTATGACGACGTTTGAGCACGCTTGATTCTCTTTAACAATTTTGCATAGATATCTAGCATATTTGTAGTTGTCTCCTTTGAATACTTATGTGTGTGCTGTGCAGTTTTATTGAAAACAACCTTGAACTTTCGTTCAATTTGATTTAAGTTATTAATTCTTCTTTATTCAATTGTTTTTTCTGTCTTTGCACGGGAACGATCGCTACGCGGATGAAAGAAAAATCAATCGTTCGACGTTTTTCACTGGCTATCTTCTTATTGTCACGTAATTAGAAACATTATCAACTGAATTCGAATTCATTACTATGTAAATTTTAATTAGTATCTTACAAAGATTTATTTCTTATGAACTTTATACAGAAACAAAATTAGTCGATGCAAGAAGATCCGTTAAAATTTGAATTTTTCCGTGTGCTTCCAAGAAAGCGAAAGATCCAATAAGCAATCTGGATTATCGGATCAACGCAGCCTTAACTTTTCTTCCTTTCAACAACTAATATTTTCGAACAAGACAAAAATAATCTTTTGTTGTACATTTCTAGATATAAAATCTATCGCTAATTCAAATTAACTCCTGTTTCATTCTTGAGAAAATGAAAACTGTTGCTGCCTCACAAACAAAATTATTTAAAATGGTTTGCAAACAAGCAGCACTATTGAGAGCACCCTATCGCCACTCCCCATGTGCAATAAATCGATTGAAACAACAAAAGCAAAATAAATCAGATGAATCTAACACCACCGAACTCTCCCAATGTAATAATAAAATCAAAAGAAACGTCTGCCAAAAGTCATCATCAATTGCTAAGGTATGTACCATCCAACAGTATATTTCACCGCATGTAAAGCACATTCTTACGAAATACTATGTTTTAATTTTCTTTTTCATAGAAAAAGCCGTTGACACACACAACCAAATATTTCGACTACAAGAATGCTCCTTCTATCGATAAAAAACTATAAAATTTTATAATAAAAACGAAGTGGAATTTGTTTTCCATGTTTGTAGTGTTTATTTGTGTCACTGTAGCAAGTTTCTGTATATCTCCTTTAATCAACAATTTCTATCTATATCTCATGAGTGACATTTTATGTACTTTTAACTATTTCTACTAGTCTCAAAAGATTTCACAAAAATATACAGCATCCAATCCTAAAGAATTTCGTAGCAATATACAAGTCAAATTTATTTCATGAAGCTGTTATACTGAACTGTAACACGAAACCTACCTTCCAAAAGGTAGCACATGATCAAAATCATAAGGAAAAAAGAAAAAAAGAGTTCGTAAGTTCAATGATCACATCTATCGGTATTCAGCATTGTCTCAATGGCTTTATGGCAATGAAAATACTATGTGCTCAGTTTCAACATCTTCTTCATTCCCTGCCATAGTTGTAGCTCCGTAACAAGGCGGGTCCTTTGTTGTAAAAAAACGAAACGAAAAGTTTTTTCGAAAAACTAATCACGGATTCGTGATCCTCGACCCCGATTACCCTTCGGTCAACCCTTATAAAAAACGTTTTTTTCGCAAAAAAGTGGTCCTTTGTTGTAAAAAAACGAAACGAAAAGTTTTTTCGAAAAACTAATCACGGATTCGTGATCCTCGACCCTGATTACATAAGGTGAATCATTTTTGTGTGACCATTATCAAGTTTTCTCTGATTTATTGAATGCTGCAATCTGATTGGCTTGGACAGACAGAATGACAGACAGACAAACTTTAAGCATTTTGAGCCCAGTATTTAACCGCTGTATAACCCTTTCTTTCAGAAAAGGGAATAACTCACCGAAGTGGATCATTCAAGCTTTATCCCATATTCAAGACCAATGACATGCCACTATATATCTCGTACGATATTCTTTTTTTCTGATTTTAATAGATTTTAAACAGTATTGCAAACTGATTGATAATGAGAATGAAGCGATTCACTCTGACACACATGTTCAATTTGAAAACGAAATGCATAGATAATAATTTGGATTCCTTATCTGAAATTATCAAAAAAATACACTTCAAGATCAGAAGAATTCCAGTTTTAGTAAAGGATGATCTTTAGAACAACTAAATTGTTCTTTTCTTGTTCATTTTGATTGAACTTGGTGATGTGCAGAGAAATCAGCAAGATTTGCCATTATCAAACAATAAATTACAAATTCACAAAAGGATGCCAAATGTTTTATTCCAGATCAGATTTTTCCTCAACAAATTTTTGCTGATTAAAATCAAAATGTTTCTATTGTAGATTTTCAAAATGATCGAATCATACGTTGATGTGAAAGCACACTGAAACGAATCGGCTCGAAGGTAGCCTACGTGCTTTATTACAAATCTTCTGCGGCTGTATTATTGCGCATTAATACTATCGCAGATGCCGATATGTATAAATGTGCCCATATAATTTTTTCTCTTTGGCTGAAGAAGGTTTTCTCCCTCCCTCTGAGGAACATGAAACGACAGTCCTAGTTCATACTTTCAAGTTTACATTTTTGATCATTTAACAATGTGTTTTGCCTTCATTACCTTTCGGCTCTGTCCTGTTTCTTTCTTCCTTCTACCAGGTTGGTTTTTTCCAACTCGTTTAATCATAAAATGCGCATTACCATAATTTTCTTCGTCATAAAATCTCAGTGAATATAAGAAAAATATTATTGATCACAATCAAAGCGACGAAACAAATAGGGTATTTACCTTAAAAGTACACATCCACAGTTAGTATAAATTTAATCAATGTAACAATGAGTGATATGCTCCACACGTTCACAATAGCATGTCTTGATTTAAATACTAATCCACATGAAGGAAAAAGACGACAATTATTGGCTAAATGTTTCAAATTTTTTCGTACTGTAGCAGATTGTCGACAATACATGGAAGAAAATAAAAGCGAAAATATCATCTTAGTAACAGTGGATTCTTTGGGGAAAATAATTCTACCGACCATACACGATCTTCCTCAATTAACTGCCGTCTATATACAGTGCGCAGATAAAGAAAAAACCGAAGACTGGACACGATGTTATACAAAAGTAAGTAGTATCAAGCTCGTGGAATTTTGGCGAGTTGCATCTTGAAGATTTATTCACATTATGTTTCAAACGGTCGTCAATATTAATATTGTTTTATAATTTAGATAAAAAATGTCGATACCGATTCTTCTTCTCTGTTACAACAGTTATATCTCGATGAAATCAAATCTAAAAATACATCACAAAATTCATTTCGAGGAATCGATTTACAAGATCAAACGTCAACAATTAGTATTTACAATCGATCCGAAGCTTCATCAACAAAATTGAATGGAAATTTTTTATGGTTTCAATTGTTCATCGAAATTTTACTAAAATTATCATTTACGATTTCAACTGCGAAAAAGGAGTTGATCGATTTATTTAAAAATACATATGACAATGATGAAATCGAACAACGTAAAATTAGAGAGTTCGACAACGATTATGTGTCTGATAAAGCAATAAACTGGTATACGAAAGATTTTTGTTTATATAGACTCCTTAACAAAGCTCTAAGAAAACAAGATATTGATTTACTTTATACATTTCGATTCTATATAGCAGATGTACACCAACAATTACAAAGAGAATATAAACATTTGAAAGCATCAAGTACGACGTCAGTGTTGCATGTTTATCGATCGCAAGCAATCAGTTCTATTGAATTACAACGCATAAGGCAATCTCAAAATGAATTTATATCAATGAATTCGTTTCTATCAACAAGTAAAAGCAAAGAACAAGCTTTATCCTTTATATTGGGTGCTGAATCAACAGATGATTTAGCTTATGTTCTTTTTGAAATGTATATTGATCTTAAATTGAATTCGTCGAAACCATTTGCTGATATCACAATGTTAAGCGCTATTGAAGGTGAAGAAGAAGTCCTTTTTATGTTGGGATCAATATTTCGTATACAAAATGTTACTCAAGATGTCAATAATAATCTTTGGATTGTGTCTTTAGAATTATGTAGTCAAGATGATACCGAATTAAATTCTATATTTAAATATTTTACAAATAATTTTGGCGAAAAAACAAGTTTGTGGCATTTAACTGATTTACTTTTTGATATGTATGAACTTGATAAATCAGAAAAATTCTATAAGCGTTTGATTCCTGAAGTATCGGAATGTGAAGCAGCCATATGTTATGACGCTCTAGGTGTTATTGAAAATGAAAGAGCTAACTACAATCTCGCCTTAGCATACCATAATCAGTCATTAAACTATTTGATAAAAATTGTTGATGATAATCATCCTTTACTTGGTTATACATACGATCATCTTGGTACTGCTTACAGAAATTTAGACGATTATGATCAAGCTTTGAAAAATCATCTGCTAGCGTGCGAAATTTGGTTAATGGTCTATGGTGATAATCATACCGAGATTGCCAGATCTCTCATTAATATTGGCCTTATTCATGATAAAAAGCAAGATTTTGACAATGCACTAAGTCATTATTTCTATGCTTTAAAAATATATGAAGAAAATCATCTCCCAAATGATCATCCATTGTTTGGTTTACTATTTAATAATATTGGTTATATCTATTTTCAACAAGATGATTACATTGAAGCATTAAATTATTACAATAAATCGCTAGAAGTTCGATTGAAATGCTTACCATCATTGCATACCGATATTGGGGTTACTTATCATAATATGGGTGCATTGCATTTTAATCACAAAAGTTACCTTCAGGCATTGGATTGTTTCCTAAATGCTAAGGAAATTTATGAACATTCCTATGAAAATACACATCCGCGTATACTCAATCTACGAGATGACATACAAAAATGCCAGTTTTTGATAGTAAGTTAGACTAATAAAATACCATTGAATATAACAAAAAATATACGAAATTCTGTTTTATTTCGTATTATATTCAATCCGTGTTCTTAAAGAAATTTCTTGTGAACATTTCAATGATTAACGTTATCGAAATTTTAACCTTTAAAAATAATCTCCACAAGAATTTTTCTCATTCCTTGACTTTGAAAAGATTGACTTATAAACACGTGCTTTTCTTCAGAGGATTTATTTTTGAGTAATTCAATTTTCAACTTCACTACACTCATCATTCAGTTCTCTTCTTAGATTTTAATACAAATTCTTTCTTTAGAATCATTTCAATCAGAAACATATTCAATAAAAAATGGGTTATTACTTAGCAAATCTACATATGGCACAACAATGAAAAAATTGTTCATTTTCATGATAATCTTTATTTCAATATATTTTCATGAAATTCTGACTATTGTTCAATATTTTTTGTTTTTATTTTTTAAATATTCATGTTTTTACTTTCCGAGAAAATTTGTTTTGACTTTTGGTATCATTGTAATATCCTCATACGAAATTGAACGAAAAATAGAGCAAATATCGCCACAAAGAATGTACATGAAACACACCGCAAAGTAATTAGTGTTACGTATTTCATTGGGCATCCTCAAGATGTATATATAGTATCGAGTATTTCTTACATTCGAATGAAAATTGCTCAAAGTTTTAAACAAAACAAAAATCATATAATTCGATAGAATAAATAATACTTTACTGAAGCCTATCGAAAAAAAATAAAGACTAAAGATTTGATGTAGATATGACAATATGTTCAAATTATATGTAATACAATTTCATCGTGTCATTTAGTTCCCATGAAAAAGAGACAAACACAAAATGTCAATTGCGTTTGATATCATTGCAGCAGTCTGTCTTTTATTCATATATTTCAAAATCTGCTTATAGAAATTCGATCACATAAGTTTTATTCATTATTTTATATGTAAATCATGCGCTGGATCATGCGTCATTTTAAAAAATATCTATTCTTTTCAATTCTTTTGTTATATGCAGACAAGAAAGGAACATATGCGCACTTTTATACTGATTAGAATTATAAAAGGACGAGAAAAGATCGACATACATTCTCTAAAATAAACATTAACACAATGTAGTTTTATTTGTCATTAGAAACTTCCAACAATGATTCAAAATGTTCACATCCGGACATGTATGTCTTATGTAAAAAAGTAACAGGGCCATCGTGTGGAACGTCAATATGTCTTGGTAAAAAATGTGGTCTAATTCCTCTATGTTCTTTGAGTTTAAGTGGTAACTGTACCCATGATGTTGAATGCTCAATCAATTAACTTTGTAAAGAATGTCATAATAACAAAGGACCCATCTTGAGGGGTTTCACGAATTATACGATCGATATTTACTAATATATTCCAATGGCCTAACCAAGATTTTCAGACCTAGAGGCAAACGTTGGCTAGGTCGGAAAAAAAGTAGTAGACAAAATGGGCAAACTTTCTGTCGATAGGGTGAAACTTATCCACTGGTTAAAATTTCAAAACACGACTGAAAACAACAGTGAAAAATAAGCATCTTTTTTCTAGTAGGTATATTCATGTCTGTTTAATGTGACGAAAAGCTAAAGATTGGCAAATAAAGTCAAAGTATCAGGTCATGGAGGAGCACCACTCGAGTTCCGAAAACGTTCTGACCATTCATACCAACCGGAATCGAGAACAGTGAGAGTTTCAGCGAGATTTAATTCATCAGCAAAGAGAACGGCCAAACTTGCTCGCCAACCGGTTCCACACATGTAGATCAATCGTTTGTGTTGTCGATAGTTTGGACACCTTTGTCGCATCAATTCGAGATACTCTTGCAATTCTTGCCACGTTAAATTGCCATCGATTTCTCCATAAATTCCATCGAGTAGATCGAACTCAAAATGTGGAATACGTCCAGCCGTTTTGATGTATGAATAATCGGTAATTTCTCCGGAATATTCTCGATATGTCCGTACGTCAATAAATTTCGTTGTTGAACAGGAGAATTGGCTAATTAATTCGTCACAAGTTATCACAGCCTGTGGTCTTCGGGAATATGTTGGTAGACGGATCGATCCAGATGGAGACATTTCAAATGGAATATGAGTTCTCCCGATCAGAATTTTGATCTGACTGTAACCGAGCCAGTATAAAAGCCAAGCGAATCTTGCTGCAACCATCAATTTATCATCGGTATAGAGAACTATGAAAGATTCTTTTGAGAGATGATATTTTTTCAAAACATTCTCTTTGATTTCGTCATAGGAACAATATTTCCAATAATTATTCTTCTCATCTGTCTCTATTTGATTCAGAAACTCTGCTGTGATGTTTAAAACCAGAAGATTTTCTCTCGAAAAAACTTCTTCAGGTTTAATAAACCATTTCAAATGATTCATCTGAAAGCATTATTTTTATTTTTTTGGAGTAAACGCTTTATTTGTAATTAAACAACCAGTTTACAGGAAACAAAAAACACGGAACGAAAGAAGAGAGAAGAAACAAACAACGGACAGACTGGTTATAAAGCTGGCAGGAGAGAAAAGATTAAAACAGAAATACTGTTAGAAGGTTGTGGTGTTGGTTGGGTTCGAACGCGATGTGTCGGAGGGTTTTGGGCGGGGAGGGTGATGCGGGGTATCATCTTTGTGAGGGTGTGGGGCGGGTGTTGAGGGGTTATGGTGTAAGTAGCGGTGAGTTGCCTAGTTTCTGAAGAAAAACGAAGATGAAAATATTAGGCATAGCTATCTGGGACATTTTACATGCAGAGTTGGGCTCGTGTTAAATTGAGTAAAAGAAACTGGTGACAGAAACGGTAATGTCTAATGTATAGGGGCGATCGGTTTCGCTGTGTTTTTGGTCCAAATATATGCATATAGAACAAAGTTTGTTTGTTTGTTCGCTATGCGTTCAGTGCCGGTAATAGCTATCGTCGGCAAGTGTACATCGACACTTCCTTTTACTCAGAGGAAGATTGACATCTACTTTGTTGGAATACTCGAATACTCGAAGAGATAGTTGAATACTTGAATTCAAGTTTCGAGCTTGACACTACTGCCGTTAATGTCCAACTTTCATTCTTTGATCTAGTTTAGAATTCTCTTCAGAATGAATCAAACCGTTTCCTTCCATTCCCTGCTGAAGAATCACCAACTTTGTGCCTTTGTGACTGTCCAAAATAACATTTGTCAGAGGAAGCATTACTTTGAGTGGTTAGCAGGGTTACCAACTGTACCCCATTTGGGGGTACAGCACCCCATTTCACTACTTTGCACCCCAAGAAAATCTGTACCTTTGGGGTACCCATTCTGTACCCCATTTCGATATTCTTCAATAGACTCTTATAAACAATACGTAGTGTAGCATCTTTTTATTAAAAACTAGAGCAGACTTTTTGCCACAACTTCTCTCCTGAATTTCGCGCAGATGAGAAATGTAAAACCACGTCGTCCAAATTGCTTAAAAGTTCACGATCTTGTCGTGGGCTTTGCGCCAGTTGTTAAAGAGATGATTTCGCAAGTTATTTCCAGGATCGAGAATTTTCTGAAACTCTTTCAACAAGGTGGTGACAATTAACCGATCACATCACTTTAGCTAAAGAAACTGATCGTATTAAACTATTCTGTCTCATTAGTTAAAAAAGAGTCGATGGCTCTACTACAAGTGAGTAATTAGACTAAGGATAAAACAATGAATATATAAGTTGCTAAAGCTGATGACTTTCATTGATTTTCACTACAACATCGTGGACAGTGTACGATTTTAACAGTGAAAATACTGACTGTTGGTGATTATAGCAAAAAATTTTAAAAAGAAACCGTGATTCTCTGGCAGTATTGTCGTAGTTGTGACGATACGGGAATTTCATTATCTGATGAGTGAACTATATATAAATAAAGCATTATCGTTTGTCAATGACTAGTTGTCTTAGTTTACATTTCTCACGACGTCCTGGGAGTCACAATCGATCTTAAATCGATTAACTCCTTGCATTTGAGAAGTTTACATGCTACTCTTTTAACTGGTTTGAAGAAAATCGAAAAATCATTGTGCATTCCAGTTTTTTCATTAAGAAACATATTGAAACTGGTTTTATTTATATCACTTTTTTGTCTGAAAATAAACATCTCACAACATATCTTACAGAGAGAGAAGATAAAATGATTTTCCGGTAATAATGAGTCTTTTGTGGACTTCTTCGAATAGATCTGATATATTTCCGAATATTTTGTACCTCACGTCTGTACCCTATTTGGAGGAAAGCTGTACCTCTCGTGCACCCCATTTCTCATCTCCGATACCCCATTTGAGACCTGGACAGTTGGTAACCCTGGTGGTTAGCATCAGATAATGTTTGTGTAATATAACTGTTTCTATAATCGTGATATTATCAATGTGTTGATGTGTATGAATATCCAACAATCCGATGTTAATCAGCTATTTCGTTTCAGTTCTACATATTCGTGCTTCAAACACTATCGCCTAAAAAAATTTCCTTGCAAAAATCGACCTTTGTCTAAAAAACAGAACAGAATTTTTTATTGAAAAACTAACAACAGATTACCCTTCGGTAAACCCTTATTTGACAATATAAGAACTAATCATTAGCTAATTAAGCAATTAATTAGTTACTATTTGCAAAAAACTAACATCGGATTCGGGATGCTCAACCCCGATTACCTTGCAACAATCACTTCGTAAGGAACATCGTTAAGTTTTCATTGATTTATGAAATACTGCAATCTGATTGGTTTGAACAAACAAACGAACTTTAACCAGTTTTAACGCGGCTATAACCCTTTCTTTCAGAAAAGGGAATAGGCGAAGAACACTGAAAATATGAATATGAAATCGATCTACTTCACTATGACTCAAAGTTTTTATTTTTCCAACATACCTTATTGATTTTTTTTCTCCTCCTTTCAGTTGCAAGCGACAAATGCGTAATAACAAACTCGCATCTCACACACCATACATATATATATTTCATTCTATTGCCGTCTGCACGGTGTTCTCTTTCTTCTATGTGAAAGAAAGTTTTGTCGTTCTTATCTGCATATGTGTACCGAGTGGACTACACGTCAGTGGTTAGTTTC